ACGATTCATCATTACCTGTCATCTTTCCTAAAACAAGGATTTAAACCAAAAGGAAGAACCTGAGAAAATGGATTGTTTTCGTCATCATAGCCTTGGTCATTGCCGTACCAATCACGATCCAATTTTTGTTGTTCTCGTTCCCATTCTGCTCTTTCAAAAGCATTGCGAAAATCCGGAACCAATTCTCCTTCTTCTTTAACCGAACGAATCGTGTCTTCCTGAGTCCTGGAATATACCTTCCATTCTTCTGCTCAGATTAGTTATTGTCCTCAAATCCAACGAAAGTATGCTACAATGGGTCTAGTAGTACTCTACAAGAAGCACTATGAAAATATGATAAAGCCATTTGGTAGATTATTACAGAATGACTCAAGATATCAGCAAGAGATTGAAAGGAAGAGGGCAAAGGATAGCACGTTGAATTTTCTATTTTTTTTTTTTTTGAACTTGAAAATTCCTATTTATATTACCAGACGTGAGGGGAATATAAATTTTACTTATATCATGAAAAAAATTTTTATATCATAAAAAGGGAGAGAAGAATAACTGAAATACAAAAACCTTATATTGTGGCTCTGTCTACTGCTTTACCACACTCAAAGACGGCTGTATAAATATATAAACTAATTACCTCTTTTTATTACGTTTTTGTCGTTTTCGATTTCGTTCACTTTGCCAAATGCTTGAAACACTACGAGCCGAAGATGTATCATCACGATGACCAGATGAAGTAGGTGTATCCCAGCTTGAGTGGTACCTTTTTGATATCTGTCCTGAATCATCCTCTTCCCAGGCTGAACGTGAAGGAGTGTCAGGCACCTAAAACAACTATGACACACTAAAAGTTCACAGTATTAAATATAAATATGTTGCCAGAACAGAAAATTGTGTATTTTAAACTCTACCATCCTTATATATCAGGACTGACCAACGTTGTGTGCTGGCAATATATTTATATTAAATTTTATCAAAAAGACCGAATATACATTTAATCTTACCTTGAAAATGGGAGTTTCTGCATCTCGATCTCGTGAACCTTGACCTCCATAATGCTTTTGCCAGCTCCCTTTGTCATGATGATGGCTTCTTTGCTTACGTTCATTTTCCCTCGTATCAGCATAAAGTCCGCGTTTCCCTCCTTTGTACTTCCCGATTACATAACTCAAACGAATTTCCGGTGAATAAACAAATAGACGAGACAAAATTATTCATTACTACCGGTACCACTCGAGTTTTAAAATATTTTTGACGTTTCAGAGATACAATGCAAGCTAAGTTTACTTATTATGAACATCTGCTACGTGACAGCCTCCTACTTTCCGAGTTAACGTAGTAACCAAATTAAATAAATCAGAAAATTATAAGGAAAACGTTTATACACCTTTTCTTACTCTTAACAGTAAAAGGAAACTGACCACAGATTCAATTCTGACTTCAACAGTACTGAATATATTTCTACCTCGTAATTTCAAAATTGTACCAAATATCGAAAAGTAATGAAATTTACTCAGCAATTTGTTTGTGTATGCTTTCCGAAAGTCCACCAGGCGAGCCATCTTCAATTCGACGCTTTCGAGAATTTTCATCAACTCGAGCACGAGACTTCGCTAGCACATCCAAACCAAGAAGTGATTTTTCGGGATGTTTAAACAGCTCGTCATTGCTATTCGTCTTTCTACGAATGAACAAACCACCTTTTGTGTTTAATGTGCCTTCCAAATGGTTCAAACCACCATCACTCGCCATTTAATTGAGCTCTCGAACCTCCAAAACATGATAAATAAATGTAAAGACCATGCGAAAGGTTTATGCGTAATCAGTAACCCAGAACAAGCTAGATAAGATGCGATATAAGTACATCTGGATGCTGAAATCCGATGATTTTCTCCTTCGAGCTTACCAAATCGGCAAGAAACCCTACCTAGTAAACCATCTCTATCGACTACACAAATTCTTAGCAAATAACCAAGAAACATCAATATAAACTACAACCTAGAAATCCTTCTAATCGATTCACAACTGAGTCAGACACTAGTAACAACCTTTTGACTAATTTCCAAAAAGCTCATTAAAAAATTAAAAAAAACTAAAAATTAAAAAAATACCTTACTAAAAAATTTTACTTCTCCATACATTGCAATGGAGTAAGAAGATAAATTTTTCGGAAAGAACATCCCAATGTGGAATACGGTTAACAATCAAAAGCTTCATTAGACGGCGTTAGCGCCATCTAATGAAGCGACGGCATAAGACATCACTTTATCACATTTATGCATTACATAGCTTCAAACTTATTTCCATTGTTTATGAGCAAAGAAAGTCGAAGAAAACAAAGAAATGAATGTACAATGAAAAAACAAAACCTTAAAAAGTAATAAAGAAAGATTGCAAACCGCCGTTAGAATCATCAGTCACCATCAAATTTCAATAATCGGTCTTCCGAACGTGAAATATATTATGTACTTGTCCGATGTTGCAAGATAACACATCAAATACAGCAATGACAACAGTTTTACAATCTAACACTTTCAAAAGATTTTAAAAAATAGACAATATAGTGGGACCCTGGCACTAATGGACGGGAATGAGATGAGAATGATATTTTGATAAAGCTAAAAAGTTTATTAGTACGCAAATTGGATAGAAAAAGATATGTGTAAACTCAGAAGACTTTTTAGGTGTGCATCCGAATTAATCCAAGTGATTCACTGAAACTCAAGAAAAAAACCTGGATTCAACAAGTGAGGTTGGAAATTTTTTTTTGTTTGTTAAAAACCTTGTACCTCAAGGCACAAATCAAAAGAAAGTAAGATGAGGGAAATGTTGTGCAAAGACATAAAAAAATGAAGGAAAACCCAACAAAACTGAATTTACAGATGGTTCTCCCTACTTTAAAACGTTCTGTAACGCCTAATTCTGAAATTGGAGCTTCATTTTTTGTGAATACCTAAGCTCTAGTGCGCTAACTTCACTAATCTGAAGTTTTTCAAATGTAAAGAGCAAAGTGAAGGGATCTATCAATATATTTAAAAAAATTAACAATTAGAATTGAAGCTGAAAGACAAAAGGCATCGAAATAATACAAGTAATGTTTGCAAAGATTACATAAATCATCTAATATATATTTGTACCGACGAAAAATTGCAGGGAGTCATCTTTATATATTCAGAATATATGAATATACTTTATATATGTAGAAGTATATTCAGAAGTTATCCTTCATATGTATAGAATGCATGGAAACAAGAGGCAAAAAAAATAGAAAAACGAAAATGCTAATTCAGAAATGCTAAGATAGTTCGAACCAATAGAAACTGTAGAAAACCAATAGAAATCCTGTAAATTCATAAATATGAAAACAGCATACGGGGGAGAGAAGTAAGAGAAATGTGCTGACACAGTTGCAGGGTTCTTTTAGAGTTAACGCACGGTTCTTCGGCTAAATGCTTAAAAGCAAATTTTGAAAGTTTCAAGGTAAATGAAATTAAATTAGATGTAAATCCATATTAATATTGTGTACAAACCAAAATCAAATTGAAAGATTCAGAAACAAAAGATATCCAACCATATGCAAGCTCAAAGGAAAAAAAACAAATGAGTCTTTAAAAACCTTTTCAATTTCTGCGAAAGCAGAGTGCAGTCGGCTTATGCCTTCACAAAATATGGGGAGAGGACATCACTAAGATGACAAATTATCAAACCCTATAATTGAACAATAATCCACTACAGTTTATTCAATCCTCGCTTGTGCAACCAAGACGTATAAAACAGTTATGTCGGGAAACATATTGACATCCGACAGGAAAAACTATCAGAAAAAACCGAATCAGGAATATTACGAATGCAATTATTTATGCTGACGTGTTGTCCGACGTGGTAATGTATTATAAATTGTTTCCGATGCAGGTGATCTCCGACGTCTCGAACTACGACGCAGTGCTTCGGTTCGATCTTGTCGTTCCCCAGTCTATAAGCAAGCAAAACTGATCCATATTTCACTACTAAAGTGGATGAAAATGTAATCTGTACTTTTCTCATTACATTGGAATAAATGCAGTAAGAGATCAAAATCATCACAGATTTCCAAGGCAATCAGATTTTTTAGTTTTATGCATCGTGCAAGACTGATACAACAGCTGTTTGTGTGGTATCTATAAAGTGATTCACGGTAGAAATAACAGCACGTATTTACCACGTATTTACCCATTCATCAAATATGACTTGGATATATAGAAACTTGTCTTTAAATATAGTAGTGCCTTTTCAGTTCGCATTAAGCTTCTGACACCAACTACAGTTTTCAGCATCAAATTGAAGAAAACTAATATTATGGATGAAAAAATTTCATAAAAAGTAAGAATGTGAAATTCCGCTACGCTTCACAGAAAAGAAATTAAAGTTGGTAATCCAAACAATACAAAAAAATTGCATTGTTTGGCTATTCCAATTCTAAATTTGTAATTGAAAAAATTATGATAACCATGATCAACGGTTTTTGGAGAAACAGACTTACGGAAGTAATCTCTTCTTCCAACACGCCTGGAGTACCACTATCACTGGGTTCACGTTCGTCGTCTTCTTCCTGGATTTCCGTCACACGAATCACTTTTGACGATGATGATTCTCTAGAATTTGAAGTTAACCAACGAAGGAAACGAAATATTATGTTAATTTATCAAAGACATAGCCATAATTGTGAAGTTTAGTGGTGAATCACGATCTTTCAATTCAAGAATTTGCACCTGTTATTAACATCGCTAGTACTGTATGAGCGCTGCAGTTGTAGTACAAGCTGCGCTTGTCCTCGAAGTGCAGCTGTTGCAATAATTTCACGAGCACACAATATTCCTCTGCTACCTAATCGCATAACCTGAAAACGGTAACCCAAATATTCGGAATTCCAAAAAAATGATCAATAAAAATTATAAAATTCAAGAATATTCTGTTCCCCAGTCATGCAGAATAAGTTTGAGAAAACGGTTTAACGTAATTGAGAACTGTATTTGAAGACAAATTTTTTGAAATAAAACTTGAAAAAATATCTGAATTTACCGGTCAAGTAACCTCACGTTTTTTCTCGGTTGTGACAGGAATTTTTCCGCTATAAATTTCAAAAACTGTGAAATACATAGAAGAAATAAGATTATGCTAGTATTTACAAAACTCAAGAATGAAAGTTTTATAACTTCCAGCATTGTTCTTTCCCAAACATTGTAGGCGGAAAATCAACCACCAACCACTCCTGATTTTATACTGTATTGCAATAAAAATATAATTTACCAGCAAATTATTAATTAGCTGTAACAAAACTAACCTGATTATAACTTTCTGACTTAGCATGTTCGAGCAGCAGATCAATATCTTTTTCGTGTTTCGTTAATGTCGGATGCACCCACTGTAATAAAGACATTGCAAAAATAGAACACTTGGAAAATGCTCAGTAAATACATATGTTTGTCACTGCTTGTCCTAGCTAAACACTTCATTAAACATTGATTACAAAGGAAAAAGATTCCAACATAATAAATGTAGGTCAACATGTATTAAAATGTGAAATTAAATCCAGTACCCTTATAACACTACCTATCTAAAAACAACTAGCACAACTTGAATCATGAAATAGATTAGCACTTTCAAAGCACTGGATGATTTCGATTTCTCGTGTAATACACAAATTAAGATGGAATTTATTCAAAAGAAACTGACCTTCCTATACAAAATTGAAGCGCCTTTGGTCCACGGACTCAGTAACCATAATACGAAAATGATTTTTAATTCGTAATAAAACGGTAGCCAAAATGATACAATGATATCAGCAATTGTTTCTATGAAACAGAAGAAAGCAAAAACAATCCAATACATCATCCATTTAACATACTCTCTTACATCCTGAAAATTTTTCGTTTTCGATTGGAGAAAAAAAGTAAAAAAGAAAAGGTAATTGAAGAAATTGATATGCCCTGCAACATGGCATAACTTTTTCGCATAAACTTTCCGTATCATTAACTGTTTCCTCCCTAAAAATTAATTATTATGAGTCCTTTTAACTTGCAGAAGTTCTTTACTATTTTGATGGTAGCTCCTTTGTTCTGTATTGTAAAGGCCACTGTAAATATAAAAATTTACACTGCAACCCAGTCAAGTAGGAAAAGTATATAATAATATCAAAGATGCCTAATGAATCATTTGTGAAAATGTAGTCAATAGTAGTGGTGGCTTTTTACCCAAACCTACACACCTTACTGCTGAATAGAAATAGCAATAACCAGGTGAAGCTGAGTATATCTGAAACACGAGACTCAGAAAAGCATGTTTAACCGATTGACACTACGCGGTCAGAACTGTCAGCGAATGAAGAAACGCTCCGATGAAATATCCAGTAAGCTCCTTCAAAAAGGCCTATTGATGGACCATTCCGACTTATAACTATGCCGCGATTAACAGACATGCTGCGTAATGTCCGCACAGGGAGTACTTTGATTATTTCACTCTGGCTCTAATCATAAACTCTTCTGCTCGAAAGAAACTTGGACTAGAGTTGTGATATATAAAAGAGTTAATAGGAAAAACCTTTGTTCTGACAGCTTTATAGCTTCGATATGCAGGGTAGAGGGTGCCGGCCGTGAGCACAACAATTCGCGAAAGGAACACAGAAACCATTCTCTCTCTCTGAAATTAATCTTGATGTGATTTACGTCTATCGAAAAGCAAACATCGGAAAAACAATTAATTCCATGAAATTTTATAAGACTGGAAGAAAAAAAGCCGAGCAACGAAATGATATGAACGTGTCCTGATATGAGCAAGTTGCACATGAATATGCAAATCCTTCGGGATATCAATTACCCGTGCACTTCCACTTGAACCGTGACCTTCTCTCTCCCTCTGCCAGTCCAAAGTGCACACCTCCATTAACAATGACTACTAACAGCTACCTACAACCGAACTAGAGCTCCATAAGCCGCTAGTAGATCTCATGCCCCGTAAATCCGCCCTCTCCCCTGTCCTTTCGAGCTTTAATTTCAACAAAATTCGCCCGATTCGGGTATTCAGTGGAGTATAGTTCGGAATCGAAGAGATCTGGCGTGGCAGAGCTGTTAATTAGGTGGTAAGAGGAGATGAAGTTGTAAGCAGACGAATCCATCTATCACAATGAGACCGCTTAGTTCTTTTCCTTCGATGGTTGGCCTAGCATTAGGAAGCCCGGAATGATTCTCGAGAGGCAAATAGTAAAGGTGATTTGTGTTATTGGATGGCTAACTTATGGATATAGTACACTGGTCTAGACGAACAGCACCGGATTGGTGTTTTGTTACACTTCTAAAACGTGATAGAAATGAAAAATACTTTTTAACATGCGGTTGAAATAAAACTATGAATTTAAAGGCTGAAAATTTCGAATTACTTTTGGGAAACTAATGCGAATTAATTCTGGGAGCAAAACCGTTGACTTCTGTTTAAGAGTAGTAATTTTCGTCCACGGTAACAGCGAATAAATTCAGTGGTGAGTTAAGAAGTAAATAATGTCTCAATGATCTACAATTCTTTTTCATTTAGTAAAAATCCGCAAATAAGAATATTATCAGATCACATGAAAGGAAAAACGGAAACAGAACTGACAGATTTAGAGTTCCACATCAACTTCGTCTAAATGCACCTTAAATGGAAAATTTTAAATAAGTTAAAAGCCTAAGATAAAGGTCTAATATAGACATGGTTTAAAAGCAATTTAAACATGGTTTAGAAGCAATCTGTCCAGATCTTTGCAGAGTAAAGATGGGTTTCCATGAGAATGCTCAAGGTATCTTCGAGGTACTATTGAGAAAAGGTGATAAATTCAAATTTCTAGAATAGAATGAACATAAATTGACCATGTATCGGTATCGTTAACCCAAGTTGTAAAGAACAGATTGTCAATATGATACATTTTACTTATTCGGTGCCCTTGACCACTGTGACCTTCAAATAATGTTATATGATACTTCGATATTAAAAACAGCGTTACCAGTTTAAATTTGACAGTATGAAAGGATAAAACGAAGAAAAGATGCGGTAAATTTGGGAGGGAAAGTCAGTAAATGATCACTGGAAGTGGATTTCTGTATTGCTCATCATCAAGTACATTTATGAGTAGGAAATGAGATTTAACCTTCATGGAGCTAGGTTGGTCGGATAATTTTTGTGTCTTTAACTGGTGGTGGTATCAACCCGGAAGTCTTCTTGGCATAGTGGATGTTTTGGTGTCGGTTGGTACACGTCCTCTACGTTTATTATTCAGGTGGTGTTCTATCTGACATATTGATTCCTTTTAATGTTAAGTCTTATTTAGCAGATCAGTTTTTGCTGAAATATAACAGCAGAAATCTTTTTTGTCTGTCCATAGCAATCAATCACATATTGAGGAAAGCATCCAAGAAGAGAGGTAAAAATAGCTTAATTGCAACCGCATCTTCTCTAAAGTTGAGTTTGATTTGAGAGGTAAACAGCTGTGATTAAAAGCTGATAACGTTCTTGTCTGAAAGAAAAGAGAGGTGAAGAACTACTAATAAGTTGAAAAGCGGTATAATGGAAGACGTGCTCTGTGAGATGTGCTCTCCCTTCCCCTGTATTATTTTCATGGGTGAACCTAAATTTAAAACTGTTTAATAGGTTTAGATGACTGCCAAGCAACAGCACCTTTAAAACAAGAGATATAATATATCCCAGATTTTTTCTGCTTTTACAGCGGAAGATCCATTCCTTCCTCACTTTACTTTGATTTTTAAATTGATCATGTACCATGTATTGATGTACAAATCAAACATGAATGAATAGCTAAAAGCAGCACTTCGCTTCAGCTCATTAATGTACACCATCCTAGAACAAATACTGGTGACTTGTTTTATGGTCTATAAGTAATACCAGTTATTTGATGAAGGATAAAACAAAAACTTAAGTTTCTCTTCACTCTTCAATTCACCGTTGTGCATGCATTTTAAAGCTTCACGAATTGCTTGTATCCAATCTGGATGAAGAGGAACTGTTACCGTAAAATGAAAATGGGTCAAGTCTGAATTAACAAATTAACAAACACAATGCGATATGCCGGCAGTTCCATTCCCCAAAGAAGTTTCGAATAGATATCACTCGCTAAAGAAGGATTTTTATTGAGGTTGTACTGAAATACGAAAGACGTTGTGAATCCCGATGTGCTGCAATATAAATTCAGTTTTTCCTTTCTTCTTTCTCCTAGTTGTCGTGCACTCTTTGTTACCACCGAAGATCGAAGGAGAGGACCGGTTTTATTCCTTTTTGCAATGACCGCAAAGCAATGGATAATGAAGTCGTCGTATGTTCGCTGAATTTTTCAAAATGAGACGTTACCGCTAATAAATATTTTGACTGCGAATTAACCAAAATGCTCTCTTCAAAAGCATAAAAACGAAATTAACTGACAGCTTGCATTGAATAAAAAAAAAAAAGTTAGGTGGACAACTGTGAAAAAGTTGGAAAAATACAAAATATGCATATATGCAAAATATAGATAGATAGATAGATAGATAGAAGATAGATTAGATAGATAGATTAGATAAATAGATTAGATAGATTAGATAGGTAGATAGGTAGATTAGATATAGAGAGATGGATAGATTAGATACAGATAGGTAGATTAGATATAGATAGATTAGATTTTATGTAGATAGATTAGATAGATAGATGGATAGATTAGATAGATAGAGGAGATATTAGATATAGATAGATGGATGGATTAGATATAGACAGATAGACAAATAGATACAAACACAATACATGAAGTGAACATCTATCATCAGGCGAATACATGAGGTGACAGTTATCCCATCCTTCATCTCCATGCTCTTTTCTTTTCTATCCAATTGCAATTTATATTCTCAAACATCGCTAATTCCTTTCAGTTCAGAAGATTTCATTCGAATAATGTAAAGTGTAAGTCAGTTGCTTTGAATGCTGTAAAACATTGAAACTTGTCATATAACGAAATTCACAGTGGATACTTTACCACACCGATAAACGGTTAGTGTGGTAGGGCAGTTGCACATATCTGAGAAAGTTTGCAAGCAAGAAATGATAATGATGATGTTGTAAAGTAGTGGCCGAAGAAAGGCTGGGAAACTGTCTTATCTTGCTTCATTTTGCTAAGACAGAGAATTGGGGAGGAGAAAAGCAAAAGAGAAAAAACCGAAAACACCGAGGTCAAATGGAACAGTTGGTATAAAGCTCAAAGGGTAATAATTTCTCCTGACTAATTCTGATATCGACTTCTGCTGGCTATAAGCAGCTTTCAACACGGATAACCATCTGTAGGGTTCTTTAATCGCATATTTGTTGAAATCGTTCCATTCTTTTTGCACCTTTTCAACACACAGATGTATGTTATGATTCAGAAAAAATCACTTCTTGTAAAAAAGCTTTTACGTAATTGCATTTCAGAGCCGTTCGATATTCAAGACTGCCCAAATTAACAGTGGAGGAGAAGGCTATATGAGTTGAAAACTGATCACCTAAAGCATTACTTTTATCTAACTGTCTCAATGGTATTTCGAAGTACCGAATGCGTTATAAATTAAAAAAAATGATCTAAGGTTAGTGTAGTAAGCATATTTTATCAGACAGTATGCGCCACGTTTGATGTCCACGTTATTTGAATAAAAAGACAATCTTGGTAATCCGAACGAAAGTAGGGAAGATCCATGCAGTTTACAGGGAAAGCTTCTTTTCCTTTCTATGAAGTTCCCTACTGCTTGACAATTCCTTCTCAGTAAGAAAAGTGCAGTTGATAAGTAGGTTGTTGTTACGGGTGATGTGATCTTGTGTTCAAAGTTACCTAGGTGGGAAAATGAAATTTTTATTTTCTATATTCTTTGCTACCGCAAAAACAAGTGTGCATTGTGTTCTCACAATCCGCGATGACGCATCTTTTGACCTGTTTATAAACTTCTGTTCATCACATTCAAATTTTTTTCTACGAACTACGAGAAACACGGCATAATTCTGATTCCAAATGAGAAACGCACGAAAAAAAAATGCCGTGATCAGAAGGCAACACATCAGTAGATTGCTGATCTGTAATCCTGTAATTGATATTCCATAATTGTTGATCTCTGTAACTTCGTCTGATATGAAACTAAAGAAAAAAAAGAAACCAAAATGTGTGATATGCCATGCGGACAAAATTCATTAATTTCCTATAAAAATATTTAACCAATAATTACAATATGAACGTATCAGTATTTCCACATACTGTTCAAGAATACTGTACGAAATGTTGTTCACTCTCTTAACATGAATCGAATTTCAAAGTAGAGGAGCCATTTTTTACTCACACAAATAAACGATTTGATATGACCGCAATATCAAAAAGGACCTATAAATTTACAAAAGATTCTTTTGAGAGGAGAAATACCTGTAAGCTCAATGAAACACTTCTGTCACATTGTATTTATGATTTCAATACATTCTGGAATATTTTTGAATGATTTTGAAATTTTTTGAAAAGAAAAATACCTGTAAGCTATTTTTGAAATTCAATGAAGGAGGGTAGTAATCTAGCAAAGTTGAGAGCTTTTAGTATTCAACTTTTAATTTTCACTGTAAAATACAAAATGACTGAATCTCAAGAATCCGAGATATTCGTGCAATAGTTTTATTAAAGCTGAACGATTAATCAAAATGCAGTGTCCGTATTATTCAACCTATTCCCTAGAAGAACTGGCACTGCGAGAATCTCTGCAGGTAGCTGAGCCTTATCAGAACCCGAGCAGCATTGCTGCCTTCTCTACAAAAATATTTTGAAGAGTTACCACTTGTTGCAAAGAAATCATTAATTTGGCAGCTTTTAATTAAAAAACAACAATCTCTTTTTCTGAAACTTGGCTTCATATATTATAAAAAGATTTTTTTTCTCTACTTTTGATGATCTCTTGCATTATCTACGAAATATGAAATTTCAATGATTAAAAAAGTGACTTTTTGAAGAAGATACATCTAGAAATTACGCATTTGAGCTGGATCAATGAAATGCAATTTTGACCAAAAAAAAACAGGTCCATCACATATGAAGACCCTAAGTTACGGTTAAAAAAGACTGCTTTGTGAAAATAGAATCGCTTACCAAATCGTAATGCTATACGATGTAAATGACCTAGGACAAACTACAATTAAAGTACAAATTTTATGTCTCGATGAAAGCGTTATTCGATTATAAACGTGGCGATGTAAGACTTCTACAATTTCAACTTCTTTTTTTTCGAATACCATTATTTTTACTGATCAAAAATTGCTGAAACATTTCTGTTTCTCCACTCCTATAGACCCTTGGTAAATCTTCTCTTTCCAGCATAAAATATCTAAGTAATCTTCCAAGCCTTACATCCTCACTCGGAAAAAAGAAAATCTTTGTTAAAGGCTAAAATACAGGAATTCAAATTTTTCAAGATGTGAAAAATTACAGTAATATTACTGATGAGAATAGGCCACGCATAATTTCAACTGATCAGTTGTAAAAATAAGCTTATAATCTACTGATTTTCAAAACCTCGGTAAGCACAACAAACAACGTCGCAAGAATCCTGTACTGCCTTTGATGGTGATATTAATAGTAATAATACTAAAGAACATTTGTCGGAATATTCTGTGGTTTCATGACAAGTTACTGCAAAACACCTGTTTGGAAACCTATAATGACATCTTATCACATCTATACTTTCTAGTTGATGCTAGTGCCCACAGAAATCCTGGTACAGAAAAGCGGTTCTTGCCGTACTAAGTGTAAATTTGATGAGAAATTGCAGCATTGACAGGTAAGTCATCTACCAGCGATGTAGCACTATTCGTTGTTTCAGATAAATTTGTATTTGTTGAAGATTTATGGATTAGCATTCGCAAATGTCGCAACGTTATATTCACATCACGGAATAACTGCATCTGAAATGTTTTCATTTAAAAAATTGTTCCATCTGCTCACCGTTTCGGATTAATTCTGGATATAAAATTTCTTAGCGGCAATTAAAGTCCGAGTCAAAGTTAGGGAAGTCAGTTATATCTTTGCAACTTTCACCTGAAAAATGCCAATGATTGTAATTAGGAAACCGACAATATTTCCTAAAACATCGCTTGCACCCAAACGAGACCATTCCTTGTATAAAATCGATGAGGCCAATATTACAAATGTTGTGAAGAATACATAATATGTAGGCGTTACCATCGATGTGTTGTATATATCCAGAGATTTATTCAAATATATCTCGAAAAAATCAAGAAAAATAATGACAATTTCTACCAAACTTCCTGTTATTTTCTTAAGCTCAGTCGATAAAATCGCCACTTTTTGTGGATTCGTAAATCTCAAAGTACTCAACTCCATACACTATTTTTTTTTTTAAAAGTTCTTCTGCTTTATCTTTTGCTAGAGCTTCCAAATGCTGCTCAAAAAGTAATACTAAATTTAAAAAATCCGGATGTAACTTCAACCGACTAACCGATCACCACGGCAGTTACTTATGCCTCTTGATGAAGACGCTACCCACTATCCAACCAAAACCTTCCCATGGAATGGCAGACATAAATTTCCGCGAGTTTTTATCACAATGTGATTATAACCCCATGAAAAGATTTTCAAAATTAAATGTCGACAAATTTTTGCAAAATTTTGAAAGGACAAATAAAATGCCGGATTATAAGACCTCATGTTAGATGAATCCATTTTTGTAATATTTTCTTGATCGAAGTCTCACCGACTTCTCAATATATTTATTCCACTAATTTATAAAAATGAAAATAAGGGAAAAATAACCAGTTGTACGGAAATGCAAAGGATTACAGCAACAAGCCAAAACCATGTAAGGAAATTCGTGAACTGTTGCCTTCCACCAATCGTTTCCTTAATGGCTAAACCAAGTCCTTTAACAGATAATACAGACAGTGAACCAATGATGGAGCAAATAAATATATAGACCAAAATATTAGAATGGCCGAAACGTGGTGCGACATAAGTAATCATTACTAATGATACCAAAATTACTGCTACCACATAGAAAATGAAACCTGAAAAATGCATTCTGAAAGATCCACTGATATTTGAAATTCCCAAAATTCTCATTCCCAAGCATACCCCTAACCACCTTTTTATCCAACAGTAATGTTCAGAAATTGACCATCAAAAGTTACAGATCATATACCCATTATTAATTGAAATTAAGAATGAATAAATAAAATCAACTCCGACTGATGGCTACAATAAAACAGTGAAAGGAAAGAGAAATAGTATTAAAGTTCAAAACTACCCTATTTCCCAACAAGTTATGTTGCTAAAGTAAAAATGACTTCTTTCTTCAGGTATTCCAGGTCAATTTGAATTGGTTAAAATACTAATTCACATTGAGCCGGAATATCTGAAGAAATAAGACTTTTCAACTTTCCAGTTTTCCAAACAAATTCAGGAAGTAATACTAGCATTAAAATGGAACAATGAACTTTCTGCGAAATGTGAAGAGGAATCTGAGAAAACACCATTCTATCTTTTATCGACAATTATCCAACACAAACATCGACTGGCATTTGATGGAAAAAAGATTAGTTTGAAGTGATGAGCCTCACTTCATACTTCAATATGCTATGGTTTACGTCCCAAAGCACTTGAAAAATTTCTTTTTCTGTACTGAAAGAAAGTGGTAGCACAATGAGCATTGATGTTGGAATTAAAAAATGATATAAGTGTGAAAAGTCGTATTCTGCTCTTGCAGAATGGTTCTTAACAAAAGTACTTCACACTTTCCAGAAAATTCATTCAAAGGTAAGCAACTCTTCCAAAACTCGTTACATAAATTTCTTTCCATGAATTAAAAAAGACCTGCATCTTTCATTTTGAGAGCCAAATCAGCCATATTAGAAACTTCTTCCTCCTTCGGCGAATGTAAAACGATTACTGTTGAACCAAGAAGACATACCGCACAACCGATTTTACCCAGTAAATTTAAACGTTCTTTGAGCAATTTCGATGATAATACTGCTCTGAAACTTTGTAAAAACGAGTCTAGTAATCTAATTACCAGAAAAACCAGTAACGGTTATTCTCTCGATTATATCAAAACTAATCGAAATCCGCTTTTTCTACCTATATGTGACTTTAATCCTTCTACAGTTTTAATTGCTTTTCTGCAGCAAAAATTAATTTTTAAATGACTGGATATATTTAACGCAGCATATATAATGCAGCATCTCATATATAATAATGCATATTTAATGCAGCATCCCTAACGATTGTGACAAAATTTGAACTGGACATGAACGCAAAAATTCTGAAAGCTGCTGGCGTTTCAAACCCGTCTCACTCATTCTGTTCACTGTTTCGATTATCAGTATTTCGATCGAATAAGCTCAGTCTAATCATCATTTGATATATATTTTTAGCCAGAAATTTCCAGGTCGACATGCTCCACTACGGTTTATATTTTGTCCCTTCTACTCTGCATCGCGGATGATGGCTAGATGTGTAATTTGGTAGTACAGGCTAATCTTAAAAATAGCATCAAACTTCTGATTGACTAGAATAGTTTAAAATAAGTGGTTAAATAAATTAAGCAATAGTTCAAAATACTTGGAGCATAAGTTGTTTCGCTTCCTAAATTAGTGTTCCGCCGAATGCTGTGCGCAACTATGTCACCAATAGAAAAGCACTATTATGTTAGAGCAGTTTTGATATTCTGGTATTCACTTTAAAAAAAAAATTATTTTGAGAACTGATCGCAAACTTACGTCACAATGACACTCAGCGCACCAAGAGGTGTTACCAGACTTGCTGGTGCAAAAGCATATGCTGCAAAATTACATGCCTCACCAGTACCCACTGCAAAGAAGGTTTTGAACAAATAATACAGATGAATTGCTTCATAAAAAACTGAAACCTCAAGTGGAAATATTACCGATCAGCTAGTTAGGCAACCCGAAGTGATCTTCCTTCACAAATGAAACAAATACAAAAATAAGAGAAATTTCATCAACAGGCAAAGCTATTTAGATTCTTTATCTTATTTGCAAGACGGAAGCCAAGCGGATGTCTAGTACCATATTATCTTAGCTTTTTTTTCCGCTTTAATGAAGAAAACTTACTAGTTAATACGCCGAACCACCACAACCATTCACGTAGATAACCAAAACCGCCTTCGGAGGCACGCTGGTTACAATCGACTTGGGCAAGTTTGATAAGTGCTTTTTTTTTGATAATAAATGAACTACCAATAAATAAGGACGATGAAATGGCTAAGCCGAGACCAATGTAAAAATCGAGCAATGGATAAGTGGACAGTAGGGAGTAAGGACCTACGCTGCCATTCGCGTTACCATCAGTTTCATTTTCCACTGAGAAATTCATCCTGAAATACTATTTCCCTTTCTTTTACGAATATTTCCTGAAACAGTATGTTTTGTAAATATGCAGCTTCATAGGATATTGTACTTTCAAGGATTAATGATCTGGAATTGAGCACATAAATACTTATTCTCCACATCACGAAATAAACATAAGAAGAATCAACAGCTTTTCAAATATTTAAACTTAGTCTGATTCTACAAAGTGTTGAGGGATGAATATTATTTATACGATGGAATCAAAGTGAGTTATAAAAAGTCCTGTTTGCAGTTATAAAAGATAACTGAAAAACGAAATTCAACTACCGCGTACAAAAACAGAAAATATTCAATAAAGGATAGAAAAAGTCTAGTGCTTCCAACCATAGAAAGTTATTAGAGAAAGATGAAAAACAAGATTTCTGATAAGCGGATTATTTCATAATCCGAGCACTTTTCCGAACTTTATGGGACCTTGCATTGGCTACTATCCTCCAACAGTTTCTAAACAAAATATTAAAGTATGACGATATAAATTTGATCATAGTGTGTAAAGTGTGTAAGATCATAGTATGTAAATTTGATCATGGTGTGTAGCTCGTTACTGAAATATGACAGATCAGATGCAGTTACCATTATGATCAAAATTTCCTTTCAGAAGTTATTACCATTCCGACTCAAAAGCAATACCACTCTCCTAATTCTCAACATAACGATGATTAAATTATGGCAAGCAACTTATGAATTTTTTCTCCCGCTTATCAAGTTGAGAAAGCAAAATACATGAATTACTGACCTTAAACGATTGAAAAATAAGCATAATAAAGTTTCAAAAATAGAACTGATCAAATTTACAAGGTCACAAGTTCCTTAACTGAGTTCAAGGAAAGAGATAACTATGCTGGCAAAAGATTTGCTTGGAACGGAGAAAGGATCGAAGCAATTTCCAAAAAATTTCAAATTTAAATCTATATCAGCAGTTACATATCTGCATGCGGGAATTTAAACTGTTGAAGATTCACTGTTGTATTTAATGCCACCATATTACAAAACCGTTGCACCGCTTCAGGGAGTATATGAAAATTTATAGATGGCACTTCAAATTATATTAGTATCAATCAATCGTAGAGTTAGATAATGATAAAAAGATAAACAATGCTTGTGATTTTTTTCATGAAGAACTACAGGAAATCGGAAATGAAAAAGAGATTTAAAAAAAATTAAAACTGATAAAAATGATGAAAACATAATGATGGAAAAGGAACCCAAATCGAAAAGATTTCATTGCATGGATATCAAAGGAGCATATAACTTAACAGTGCAAACTAAAGCGTTTGCTTCGCTTGACACTCACCGTTAAGTACCAAATATGGCACTTATGTTTGAAGGATGAGTATAGTGATATGTTGCTATGGGAGACTTCATATCGTACATGCTAAATCTATAAAGCGACAGGATAATAGGAAGGATATTTTCTGGCAAAATAAGTACGCTGCGAAGGTATTTTTCTAACCGTGAAGTTCCCTTTCTCCTTAACCTTTTTTTTCTTTTTTTCATGAACACAGAGGTCAATATATCTTTACGGTCTTAAGCTAACATCTGCTGACTTTAAACGAAGTTTGATTCATTTGCTTTTGTTGCTGTTTTTATGTAATTTTGTAGCTATCAAAATACTTTTACGTTCTACTTTTTCAGTGAAAACTTAAAGCCCCAACATTCGTGACTTGAATTTTCTAACATTTCAATATGCTGAACGATAAATCGGATGTACCGCAATTATGACACAACAGGTTAAGCAGCTTATACTACCTCGAAATCATTCATGATAGTATTGGTATTGTTTGCACCAAAATCATCACTGCATATTAACAAAAATGAGCTAACATGAAATATGAAGTCTTCTCTGACACTGTTTCCTGTGCTGAATTTTTAAATTTTTTGATAGGTACGGATTGATGAAATACATGTGCGTCCATTATCCTTGGCCGCCTTTAGCAAATCGATAACTTGATCTGCAAAAAGCGATTAACTTGATTCTGAATTTTCCTGCTCGCATATATGCAAAGAACTTATAATATTGTGATTTAAATTGGATAAACAATCTCGCATCTTCAGTCCTTTGGGAGATGAATCTTTATGATGAAAACATTTTTTGATTCCAGTATTACAAATTAATTAATACTAAGAGCATGTAAATTATTTCTGTCCATATTCTAGTAGTTCTTTTTTTTTCTTCATTTACACTCCAGTTAGAATGATACATACTTTATGCTTCTGTATTTAACCAAAAGAAAAAAAATACGAAAACCGGAATGTAACAGAAGAGAAAAGGTCAATAATGCAAGCGAATGACACAAACCATTAACCATAAAGGACAAACAAACGAGAAAATGTATCACTGTGTAAGAAGAGAATGTGAAGGAACATATACTAAACCTTTAGCAACAATCACAAAGCGGAAAAGAAGAAACATAAGTTTTTAAGTCTCTAATTAAAGATATCAAATACCTGAAAATAATTAAATGATAAAGGACTTTACATGTCTAATTTCACAGATGATTATTTCACAGTTCAATAATTATATTAGTTTGATGAAAGCATACATATATCACTGATAAGAGAATATAAAATAATAACTCATGTTACTGCTTACTGATGTTTTTCCAGATGTTTTCCTTGAGAAAAGATATGCACCCTCAATGCTTCAGTCATGTTAAAGATATACTGGAAGCCTCCAATGAATTCTTTGAAAAGATTAAAGCCTAGTTCGTTTTGGTCAAAACAAATCAAACTAAATAATTACCTACCAAAAACTCAGACTCGAAGATTGAGGCCAGTAGTTTCACAGATGATTATTTCACAGTTATTAGTTATTTGTTGGAGAATGCCTGAGTACTCTGATCCCTTTCTGAATCACTAAAATATGAATGGCTCGGTTCTCTGAAAGTCATGCAAACACTATAAACACAATTTAAACACAATTTGCAATTGAAAAAAAACTTCACTGAGTCATTGAAATCACGTTCTCTCCAAGTAAGATTCAAATCTGTTTATATCATTAGAGCGAATTGATTTTAATAAAGGGTTACATTTCATAAATCACTAAGTCGGACTTGCGAAACTCGCATTTCAGGCGTTCCTGACTTTCTCGGTGTGCCAAAAACAAATCAGGATGCTTTTTAATATTGCTTAAATATTAAGAATAAGGAAATCGAACAACTCTTCCGTCTTCCAAATATATACTAAAATGAATTTGAAAGTAGGATAATCATCCTCATCTTTGATTAACAAAGGAGGACACTACCAAGATAAAGTATCTTAACAGATAAACTATCTTGAAACTATTATGCGAAAGATACAGCATATGTTCTCGGAATAGAATTTCTTTTTTCTGTGACAAAATCTTATATGAAATACTTCTCATTCATAGTGTTTTTTCCTTTTTTTTAATTGCCAGCTTCAACTGCAATACCAAGTAGTGGCTGAAATAAATGACTGATTTCTAAAAAGTTCTTAAAATCCTGAAGAAGTTTAGTAGCTCCACAACTCTAATAATACAATTATAAGCATGCCAAACTGGGATACTATTCAGAGAGAATAATTCAACAACTACTATCATCCAGGAATTTCATAAACTATGATTGACATATATAGCATATGATTGCAGGAAAGCATCGGATAATCCTATCGGTTACAATAATAAATCTCACCGGTTATCTGACTAAAGTAGTTTCACAACATAATGCCTGAACAAAGTTTTCAGTTAAACTTTTGGCCTGGTGGTAGACTAAACCAGAGCTGGGAACTTTCATTTCGCAAACAAACAGCTGACAAGTTTCTATCGAGGTCCACACTCACTTCTTGTACAGAATAAATGAAACAGTGAAAATGAGGCGCTAATGCACAATTCTAATAATTCAATCACTAGAAGTAGTGATATTTTAGCTACCACTATTAGCATTATAATAATCATCATGCGGGTCCATTAGTACTTTCGCTCCAACTCAATAAATGGAGTTTGAAATTTCGCCAAGAATTAAAAACCAAGAATTAAGTTTGAAATTCCGCCATGCTCTACAATTTGCAATTTACATTGGAGATTTCAGAAGGCTTTCTGAATCAGGAAATCATGAACTATACGAAAATATTCAAATATTTCTGAAAAGGAAAAAAGTAAAACAATAGGAAAGTAAATAATAGGAAAGTATGAAAGTACACATCCCTGCTACTTTATTCGACCCTTCCCAAAAAAAGTTCAATAATTCATCCAAAAGCAACCAGTTTACTTGCTGTCAAATATCAAATTTATGTTGGAAGGTACAATCCACATCTTATTAGCAGGAAAATGCTCGATCTTGCTGCACCAATCCACCTACATCTCCTGACCACCAACCGTAAAGAGGATTCATTTTACAATAGCATGAGAGCAAGCTAAAACACGACAACATGAAAGATTAACTTTGAAAGTCTCCCATTTACCTCTCTAAATAACTGGCACTTCAAAGTTAAATGAAGAAGTTAATAACGACAGGAAAGACCTCTTCTTTTTTGTCATTTCCTTCTTTAAAATTCCCTATTTCATGAATATTACGGTATTTTCTTATTAATTCAAAATAAGGCAAATGAAATGTTGAACACACGTGGTCCTGATCACAACTTCAGTTTTTTATACAACATTTTGGATCCATAATAAGTGAGAATCTCTGATTAGCAAATTTGTAATTCGATTCCTATTACTGATGAACGGTCTTTTTCAGTAATACTGAGACGGAAATCCGTTAGACAATAAGAAAAAAAACCAACAAAAACCAATAATAAGGTTTTATACTGCTAAACGCTTTACACACAACAAAGTAAAGCTGATAAATATTTGCAAAATTAAAACAACGTTAGCTTCCGCATGATCTGACCTAATCCACCAATGCTGGCCTTCCCATAACCTAATCCACCAAACCGGCAACAATGAACACATCATGCAAGCAGACAAATGCAAATATTCAAATATTCGTAAATGTTTCAGTAGTTACAAACATGAGCTTTCCGTTTGCTCTCTCTTCCACTCCTCTCTCTGAAACAGTAAGTAGCCAGTTAAAAAGAAAACTGGTAATAAAAATCAAACTGATACTGAAAAGAAGATAAGGTGTATAAAAGCGAAATGGAAAAGATATCCAAAAACACAATGCACAATTTTTTTTTCGGCTGACGATCACTATAGAACAGGCAGCAGATAAGCTAAAATAGCATCAGTGAAAACTATAAATCATGTAAGTAGAGTCTCCCTATTTCATTTGATCCTTAGCTTCACATGTCGAATCGAAAATAAGACATTATTATTCTATTCAAGTTTTTTTTCCAATTAATTTTTTCAAATATTTCCCACATTTAAATATTTTCCTCCTTTTGTCTCGAAAATTATCGCGCTCACGAGAAATATAACAACGCATTTGACAAAAGCTTTGATAGAAAGACGGGATCAATTTTTTCCCTCCGTTCAATTTCAAATCTCTGATTCAAATGAAGTAGTAAAATATTCTTATACTCATAGAACTTAAATAATTCCTGCAATAGTTATCGCGATAACATAGCATCTTCTGAATTTTCTTGATCCACTCCTCCTATGTGCATTTTCTCAATTTCTGGAGCAATTTCCAAAACAGATGCCAAATCGACAACTTTTTTTCCCACAGTACATAACTTATCTAAATTTTCTGTTGTTTCCTTCGCCAATGAATCAGCCTGAAACAAACTCGTTTTCTTTGAAATATAATAAAAATATCAAAAGATGCAGGATGGAGGTATTATCGCATTGCTGAAAATTTTTTTTAAGATTAACTTATGAAATTCCTATTAAGCCAATATATAAAAAGCAAGAAATATACTCTGATGCTCCACATTTTTATAAACTTGTGACTGCTGTACTTATATCCCTGGCTCTTTTTTTGCTCTTAATTTTCTGTCTATTCTTGAGGAAGCAAAGGGAAGTATGAATGAGAATCATTTTCCGGATTAAGTTTACAAGCAATCTCCCTATTTTAATTTCGGTTTTAGTTTTATTCAATTTCTCCCATTTTCTTTTTCCTTATTTTTAAATTAGTTTTTGTTTTTAAGAGAGAGAGAAAGAGTACAGCGAATAATACAAAGTCATTATTTAAGGATGTATAGTGAGATTAAGAGGTCATAGAAGTCATAAGATTACTGTAGGTCATATGCATAAAAGGTTGTACTCCACAACATCAATCATTACAACTGGATTTGTTTTTTTTCAAATCTATGACAAAGTAAATCTTATTCTTGCATACTATAAGATCTTATTTTACAAAGTATGCACAAACAAACTAACGACTTGGCAAATCTCAGGCTTTACTGTCTTAAAATCAGGACAAAGATCAAGTGAAATCAACGGAAAAAAACAGTTCAGCAACAGGAAGTGTCACAGCTAAATCCAAAACAAGAGCTAGCTAATATAAATTATAAAAGCTTAGATTTCACTTTTTTTTTCTTAACTGAAATAAAGAGAAGGGTGTAAACCTTTTCTTTCAATAATTGGTCATATATTGGACGATAGACTTCGAAATATTGCTTGACACAATCCTGAGTCAATTTCAAAAAGTCATCGATCCCTTCACCAGTCAGTGAAGAAACTGAAACGAAAAAGGAAAACGTTTTCAAAGTAGAACCAAGCAAAATTTTTTCCCAAAAATTTCCTCGAAAGAGTTTTGCATTTTTCCTTTGAAAAAAGAAAGATACAGCCTCTCTATAGTGGATTTAAGAACTTTCAGAGTGTCGAGATGCTTGTTATATTAGCCACCTTATGGAAGATAAGAGATGTTCACCAAATAGACTACATATTTTTTAAACCACTTTTGTTTTTATTATTGCGTCTTCCCTGAAACAATGAGTTAAACTTAATGCCTCAAAGTTCACTGCGCAATTAAGAACATTAACACACCTGAGACGGTAGCCAAGTTTTGGTAGAACTGGTCAAGTACAAGACTTAAAGATCTGGTTAAATCGTTCATATATGAAATGGAATTTTTATCCAATGCTTCTTGAAAACTTTCGAAATCATTCATCCATTTCATCGCAAATGTTGGCTTTATTATATCCGCCTATAATTTTTTTTTAATATCACGACGCATAGTTTTTTAGGACAGCGATTAGAACGCAGTAAATGTAGAATGGAAAACTTGCATGTTGTTTAGCAATCTAGTAAAACGATAAAATGGTAAATAATAAAGAAACACTAAAAAAAATAAAGAAAAAATAAATAATAAAAAAAAACAGTCAATTCAACTTTATAATCAATTCCATAGCAGTCCAACTTTTTACCAATATAAATTATGTCTCATCATAATTCTTCAAAAAATTAGTCACTCAATAGTAGAGGATACTCAGCAGCACATTCCTATCAAAAGGAAGCATGATGAAATAACCTTATTGAAAACAACGATGAACGGTAGCTTTGTACGGTATAAAATTGAGCACGCATAAAGCATGTTCGACATGAATGTTGTTGGGTTTGCTGCGCGTACCGAGTCAACAATAAATGTTATTAGTGTTGGAAATGAAGAAGCTAATAAATCGGTAATGATCGATCCTGAAGCCGACCACGTGAAGGCTTCAATCTGACCAGGAGTATCCAACAAGCAGTAAGGACACTGTTCCGACCGAGATTTTATGAAATCTACTACCTGAAACACATAACATTTCTCAACTTTCATCGGCTTCGACTGCGGTAGCAAAAAGTTACTTGCATTCGAACTAAACTGAAGTAGATGAAGTTACTGATGGATCTTAGGCAAATAGCGCCTACGCGGTATCTTGCATCCGCAAACTGCCTCAAACATGATCAATGAGCCGAACTCCTGAAGAGCTGTGTAAAACTATCTCAGTTTCTTGCAAGTAGTTTCTCATCTTCAGAAACGCTCAAAAATAAATCACCGAGAATAAAGACAGATGAGGGACAATTACTACATTCTGTAATGAAAAAAACAAACAAACCTGATTAAATTTAGTACATATAAGGTTTAGGCAAGTCATTATAGCACCGTTCGGACCTAAGTGATATTCCTTCATCACCTGTTTGTACTTTACCGTATCTCGGATATCAATATTTGCAGCATATGGAATCGTCGTAACAGCCGGATCCAGATTCACCAGATATGGTGCAATGTTTTGTTGACGTAAACGTGCTGCCACACGCTCAAATGGTCAATAAATTTTGCAATAAATGTGTTTGTACTCACAAATAAGAGAGTGTGAAACTATCCGTAGCTCAAGAGTTTAATGGGATAGTTCGACGCGCAAAAATTTTCAATGAGCAAAAAGTGAGTGGGAAGTTGTGAAAAGAAAAGAGAAACCTGAACAAAAGCACTCTTGCCGGATCCTGCCATTCCCAAAACGATAACTGCTGCGGTGCTGCCACCAAAAGCACCAGATGACGACGACGCGGATGTTTTTATTTTCTCCATTCCGAAAGTGACTATAGCATTGGACGTTTGCCCAATACGTCTCAAACTTTAGCGTCCTCTGACTAAGAACCCTGCAACACAAAAACCTTTTCCATCTCAAATTTGTACTTTCCATTAAAGGAAGCAGAAAAGGAAAGCGATTAACTTAATAAACAAAACTACACATTCTCAAAATTCAAAACAAAAGCTTGGAAATGAATAATATTAAAACAACAAACTAAAGGATAACAAATATGATAAGAAACGGCTACAGTCATTTAATCGACGAATTTCAGAATCCAGTAGACTGCTCTAAACTTAATTAGCTGCCCCCTAATTAATTAACTTCCCACTCAATGCCTTCGCAGACCCTATACACAGTAGACGTCCATGATGTACCAACAAGAGACAGCCGTAGTTCGCCTTTCTCTCATTTCAATAATGTTTAACATCAACCTCACTGTCTTAATTCTCTCCGAATTCATTATGTTTTTACTACAGTTAACCGGGATTTTTACTGAGAATTTCAAGGATGAATTACACTTGAGATTATGGAATGGAGAAATACGTCGAGGGATTGTGGGCACGAGTACGCGTGCGCTGCATGCTTGCGCATATAAGTTCGTACTTGATACTTCTCTATGTATGTGCAAACTACAGTTTGTGGTCTTCCAGAAGGGTATATGCTATCTGTAATCCATTTGAAATGAGCACCGGATTTGTAACCGCTTCGGGAAAAGGCGTAACGGTAAGTGAGAAGGCACTTCAGAAAGCACGTCAGCTGTTCGAACTCCTCGACGACAGTAACGATGACAGCTCAATTCGAACCGCTGCTGGAAACATTGACAGTGCTCGCTGCAGCAGCATGGAAAGTGGGTAAGAAAACGTGACACTTATAGATTGGTATACGTAAAGTACTTTAGAGATATTAAGGTAATATAATGGCTGGTTATTGTCACACATCAGATGTACTGACAATCAAAGTCTAAAGAGTCTTGTTTTATGTATGCGGCATAATAGGAAATTGATAGCACCAGTTCTTACAACATTCTGTATCGCAAGTTGAATACCCGTAGCAGCTGCATTATTTATTAAGATTTGTGCTCAAAGTTTGGTTCATCCCTCAGTCCCAGTTCCATTACCAAAAATGGCCCACTTGAGTATAATGTGTTTCATTTAAGCAAGCGAGACGTCATACTCATTGAAAGTTTGAGAATAGATTGAAGATGTTTTATCCCACAATTCCTCCAACCATTCCCTTTGCCGAATATAACTTCTTATTACGTAAAGCAGTATGTTGTTAAGTTCTACTTGAGTCGCTGCGTTGCATGAACTGTTAATTACCGTAGTAACTTCAGTGATTTGGTATCACTTAGTTCCCTCTTCAGCGCAGCGCGACGAAATTCCAGGCAGGTATCATCAACATTCAAATCTCCTCTAATCAAGAACCCACGTCTTGACAACGGTTAGTAATTTTTTAATCTATCATTTACTTCGCCAAGTATTGTACATATGACTTCATCTTCTTATCCCTATATCTATTGAGAAATAAATTTCCTCGGCCACTATATCTTCGTGGAAAAATAATTATTTGAAATTAACCATTAATTTTAACATGAAATTAAAATGTATTCATCTGTTATATTTGTTGAACTTTTTCAGTTAGTTATAGCAGCAGTTTTAATTCTGCAATCAAGGAAATTGCAGCAATATCTGAACAGTCAATTCCTACAACACCGAAAAGCAAGTATTGTCAGAGAATTCCTATATGGTGATGAATAATAAATTCTTAGAAGCAAGCATTGTCTCATTTCAATATTTGCTACACTGTGCCAGGGCTTTTTTTCTAATCTTTTTGAAATTAAACATTGTAATAGAGAACCACTAATAATGGAAGTTAGGTGAATACGAGCTCGTAAACAATAATGAGGTCTTTTGGAAACTCTGTTTTAGATTCTCTCTGCAGTAAAATCGGAAATGTTACACCGATCAAGTTATTGACACCATATTGCAAGAACTGGCGGTTGTGCATCAAAGTTACGTCTGTTGATGAGGTGAATGCGTCGTCGCACTGCTATTCTGCTTAGTTCGTATGTATTTTTCAAAGGGAAAATTTTGTCTAGTTTTCATTTTCAGATAAGATGTATTCGAGGTCAGCATATATTCTCATTTCTAGCGGTGGATGATGGTGGTGTTGAAATTCGTGTTTCTGCTTTCGGTGACATTGCATGCAGAACCGCTACTCTGATATGTCCGGAACAGGTGGGTTTGCACCAAATTTTACAGATTTTAAATATTCGGATTCTTTTGAAATGATACTTTATAAGTAGTATTTCAGATGTATTATATTACACGCGCATCGGTGAAAATGGCAAACAGGAGATATAGCCGTAATGAGCATGATATGGAAGTTGTGCTTCGACCAGATAGTGAGGTCATATTTTGCGGTTTTAATGCTTAATATAAATCTTATAACGAGAAATAAAGTGCAAATCTTATTTCTTTTGTACGTTAAGATAACGGACGAATGACGAGCTTTGTTTTTCTCATATAAAAGGAAGAGCCATAGTGTTTACTAACACATTTATTTAAAGGTATTTTTCAGGTCACAAAATGCACGGATCGACCTTACATTTTGTCGCCGAAAGTGAATTTTGAGTTTGTGCGCATTCACAATTTGCAAAATTTTATCGACACAGAAATAGGTTTGTAGTGGTCAAACTGCTGTGTTAGCTCTGTTTTTAACATATCTCTGTCTACTTGGTCATATTCTGTTATAACTCAGTCTAACTCATAAAATCTGATGAGTGAAGCAGTACTTGTTAAAGTACTTAAATGAGATTTCAAAGTATATAAGATTTTGACGCTTGCAAAATTTGGGTGGAAATCTGTTTTCTCATGAAAAAAAGAAACTAAATACCGTAATTAAAGATGTGTTGGGGATCGTAATCCACATTGACAAAATGAAGCAGCTAAAATCAAAAAACTGGAGAAGAACTGCAAAAAAGGGAAATACAGGTCGTTGATGATAGCGGTTACTACGTTGCTATAAATCTGTGGGGACAAAAGGCAAAAATGTTCCCAAACGAGCAATATCAACACGTGCTGGCTGTCAAGAGGTTACTTGTGCGTTGTTTTCAAGGTTATTTTTTGATTTGAAAAACTAATTGGCCGCTGGTTGTGCACTTGGCAAATTTTGCTTTAGATTCATTTTTACTCGTGATAAAATACAAATTGCGTGGATGACTCTTGCTCAATTTATTTGATCTTTCGAGATTTCAGGGACGATATCTTTAGTTTCATTGGCCTCCAGTAAACTGTTACACGACCCACACTTCCCGGAAGCCGATGCGCTTCGATTTTGGTACAGTGAAAACAGGAAGAGTTTCAAACCTGCATCAATGAATCAAGTTTCATCATGTAAGTTCGTTGGCAGTTTGCGGCAAAAAGTTCCAAATAATTATTTGAGGAAAAAAAATATTCCTCATTCATATCCCATATTCTCAAATTTTATTTATGTGCGACTCATCCTTATTAAACCTTAATAAAACTTGATGTTTTTAAATGTAGCGAAGTTTCTTGTGAAACTCTTCTGTGATTATTTTCTTAGACATTAGATTTTTTTTAGTTCACGAACACAAATGGATCAAGCAATTAAAACCCTCGCTGGATGGTCATTTTTTCAACTTGACTGCAATGATTTCTTCTATTTTTACAGAAAATGCTGTTTACAAGGTGCCTTTTTTTTAAAGGAAATGTATGCGTATTTGGTCAAGCAGAGATGACAGCAGCTTGAAACGATTAAATGAAATTCATTGAGAAATACAGTTCAAGTTATAGAACTTTCCAGGGTTGTCCAACTTGTAAGAAAAAGTTATTGGTCGAAAAGGATAATGATCTGTACATATGTTCAAAATGTGGTATATGCAACGAGTATAAATATTATTACACTTTACATGTAAGTGCTGAACTAAAAGGAGAGGTTCTAGATGTAATTTCGCTTGGTGATGATGAATATCTTGAAATTTCTGGTAGATATTAATTACTTACAACTACCATTCTTGTTGTCGCCATTTGCAATAGTGATTACTAGTTCTATTATTAGTTTATTATGTTGATTTTGATGGC